AATTTATTTTGTTTACGTTAAGTCCGGCCACTCTAAGGCCCGGTAAGATGTTTAGATTTCATTGGTCCGTTTCTTGCTATCCTAAACTCTGCATGTTAGGGATAATATTCCATGACAAAACAAGACAGGAGAACACTTTTGAATGCAACAATGTAGTTCCCTAAAGGAACTCTTGATATCGTCAGGAGTAATAGAAACTTTAGCTTAAAGTAGACATGTCAACAAGGGGAGAATGAGCTGTCTGTAGGCAAAGCAAACAATCACACTCGTGGTTAGACTGACATGGAATGACAGATACACAGTGCTGGAGTGATCAGTGAATTGGTAGTCCACATGCTGGAATATTTTGGGGACACCGTTCTTCCTCTGTTCCAACAAAAAGGAGATATCTTATCCACCTTTCCTGATTCTTTATGTCTGTTGTTAAACTAGACAGATATTTCTTGCAAGCCTACCCAGCACTCCTGTCCATGCTGTCATTGCTGAGTGAATATGCTTGTGTATGCCATCATAACTCAGACATCTCTTTGACTTACACTTTAACCAGGATCCTGAAGAACTGGTTCAGTAGGGATATAGTTCCCTTGCCTGTTACTACCAATGTATAAACATCTCCTGGGCAGCAGTGATTTCTTTATATATTCTGATCTAACCAAGCAGGCCAGGGCTCGATTCCATGCACAGGCTGCAGTGGTAAAACTTTGGTCCTGGAAGTGATGTCTAAGATTCAATAAATCCCAGAGCATGATGTTCAGCTCCATATACATTTTAACATGCACGACCCTGGCTTTTACATTAGCTATAAAAATGAACAACATTGCACCATTGTACATTTAAACGTATAAAACAAAAAGTAATTTTTTTTTTTCATGGTAGATTCCCTTAAGCATCCAGAAATATAATTCACCAATTTCAGCTATAGTGGATCAAACTGCAGAAAGCCCATTAAAATGAATCTAGCAGTAGGGAAAAATAATTATTTCAGTCCATTAATCAATGTACGTTAATGCAAATGTTCACTGAATCCTTCCAGTTGGTCACTTTGGGACCAATTTGAATAAGGATATAAAAAAACGGTTTTATAACGCAAATAAATATCACTGTTCTAATAAACCTTTACGTTATGCGCCGTACAATTCCGCCACAAGAAAAGATGGCTCTGCAGTGCAGCTGGGACATAATTGTTCCTGCGTTCTGGCGGCGTGTAAAACTATTTTCATTTTAAAGCTTAAGAAGCATGTGTCGCAGCTACAGCTGAGATCTGCTTCGATCTATGTGAGAACTAAGAACTAAAAAAAAAACGACTTCACACCTATTATTTTTTACCAGTGACCTAATAACACAGACAAAGCTGCGAAAAATTCATCCCTCTTCTTTTTACTTTAGATGAAATCTTGTAAATAGGTCAAAAAGGGCCGTGTCCATGCATCCAATCTTCTTGGTGATTAACCATTTGAGTGTTGACTCCTGCTACATTTCACATTTCTGAAGATCAAATAGTTGAAAATTTTCAATTTTAGTTTCTTTAACAGTGACTTTCAAACTCCCTTGCATAATCAAACATAGAATTTGGGAGTGTGGGTGATATATACAACTAGGGCTGTAGGTCTTCCATAGGAAAATTAAATGCAGATTCGTTCTATTGATTTTTCTTTGTTCTGAATTTAAATAAGCCCCTTTTGCCAACAAGTAAGTTGAAGTGGCTGCATTTTGAATGTCCGCTTCTCTACATTTTTAAAATCTAAATTTTAAAAGTTTAAAGCTATAAAGTCACTCACTCAAGGAGCTTTATGTATTTTAAAAAATATGTACACAGATTTATCATTTAAATACTTTTTAGCACAAAAAAATCAGATTTTATTCAGAAAAACAAAAACCTCCCCTTGGCCATTCGTCTAGCAAATCGGACCTCACTGACAGGAGTATTCTGTCACTGCGTTATTGACAGCTCTGTCAAGAGGTGACTTCTTCCTGCCAATCTATCCAGAATTGACCCTTTCCTCCTGAGAGCATCGCTGATACCAGCAATTTATTCCAACATTGTTGCACTCAATTGTCTGAATGTCAACGACCTTCATTCACTTGCGATTTGGATTAAATCTGGACCAGTGACCTAGTTATGGGAATTGCTGTTCGTTCAGCAATTATTTCTGTAGTCCCTTCATCTTTTTTTATTTTATAATATTTGGTGTAAAGTCACTAAGCTGAAGAGTACTGAATACAGCCATTTAAATGATGGGTTTGAAGATATCCTTTTTTTTCCTGCAATAAATGGAAGAAAATTTTTAAAAGTTCTTTTTTTTCTTACTAAAAGCAGCAAAAATGTCTTGTTAAAGAAAAATCACAAGTCAATATCACACTTTTTAAGATTGCTTTTTGAAAAAATATATTAACGGTTATTGCATGACTTGTTTTACATTGCGTCCAGGTGCCAAGCGATATCTAGGGTCTCATCACCTCGGGTGTTAATATATAATGAATAAAGGGGATACAGTGTTATTCTAGATCTAGCAAAATCCCATGTCTCATCAGTATTAACATGTATTCCTAACACTTTAGTCTTATAATACCAATTTAGATTAACCCTCCATCCCCCCTTGGCTGAGATCATCAAGCCCATAGGAAAACAATTGGAGACTTGTGTGCATGTGCAGCAGATCAGAGCACTGCACCAATGAAATGCTCTCTAGGAGTGTCATTCGATATACAATCGAGTTTAACTCAGTAATAGTTGCAGAAGCACCTATTGTGGCTGTCTGGAAGATAGAGAAAAAGAAAAAGAAAAAAGTTAACTGTTCGTGCTATATTATAAAAGAGTACCCAAGGTTTTAAAGTGTACCCTTACAAACACTTAAAACACAATAGTGAAAAAAACAAAAAAAACAAAGGTACAAAGCAATGTGAATCACCAAAGTGACAAACAATAATAAATATATACCAACTGGGTATGTAGAAATATTCTGTCTCAGAAATATATCTGAAAATACATAAAAACTATATAGTGTAATATTGTTACATCTAAATCGAAGCAAAATGGTAGAGAACTCACAAAATTAAGGTGAAATCAGGCGTATCTACCACAATAAATAGGGAACTGCAGCAATATAGAGGACCTCCAGCGATGATCCTATAGATATGATTGTAGATCTTCTCATTCACTCCAAGTAAAGAGAGAGATAGATAGTGCAGATGGTACAAAATGTAACAATTTATTTTTAAAATAAGTTGCACTTACAATGTTGCAAATTAAAACCAGCGTGTCTCCATACCAGGTGGTATCCACATGCAGTAGCTGATCCAATAGCAGCACAGGATTTCAGACAGCAGCAACAAATGAATGAAGAGTACAGATAAACAATTAAAACAATAAATAAAAAGTTCCAACGCGTTTCGTCCGTCTTGGGACTTCCTCAGGGATGTGTAGTGATGATGAGAGTAAGAATCCTCTTTTATATCCACCATTGGATTAGTAAATCGTTCGCCGGTGTCGGCGTGCGTTCCACTGTGGAACGCATTCTGCTTCCGCATGACGTCACTTCCGGTTTCGCGGACCCGATGTAAAACAGCGATTCTTGAATGTTACTAGCAGTTACAGCCGACAACACTCTCCCCACTGATATATTGACTCCACAACAGTTCAGCAAAGGACCAAAAATACACCCAAAATTATACATATAATACAATGCTCACCATAGAGATGAAGGATATCAACATTGGAGATGTTATAAATAATACACAATATAAGTATTGAAAAATATATTTCTCACAGCTTATTATATATAAATTTAAATTGCCAAAATATAATGTTTTTAACAATAAAATTTATGAAGATAGAAAACTTGTTGTTTGAGGATATAAAAAACAATATAAGAAAACAATATAAAAAACATTTATCAAATCCATTTGTTGTCATACTCCATCTCTTTACAGAAATATATAATATTTTATATAGAAAGATCTATAATACACAATATTGTATATGAATAACAGACACTATTAATATATTATTAGACTCTATGTTTAAATTGAAAAGATTATATGAGAGAGAGTTTTTTCTGAGAGAAAAAATTTTATATGAGAGAAAATTTCTGAAATTAGAAAACAAGTGTTAATAATTAAGTATGGACCAATCAAAAAAAAGATGAATAAAAATAAATAGAAAAATAGAAAAATCAATATAAAAATACAAATAAATATAAAAATAAATATAAAGTTAAAATAAAAATAATATAAAGAATACATGAAATAAATATAAAAATAAATATAAATATAAAAATCTGCACTATCTATCTCTCTCTTTACTTGGAGTGAATGAGAAGATCTACAATCATATCTATAGGATCATCGCTGGAGGTCCTCTATATTGCTGCAGTTCCCTATTTATTGTGGGAGATACGCCTGATTTCACCTTAATTTTGTGAGTTCTCTACCATTTTGCTTCGATTTAGATGTAACAATATTACACTATATAGTTTTTATGTATTTTCAGATATATTTCTGAGACAGAATATTTCTACATACCCAGTTGGTATATATTTATTATTGTTTGTCACTTTGGTGAGTCACATTGCTTTGTACCTTTGTTTTTTTTCTTTTTTTCACTGTCTGGAAGATAGAAACTGTTGGTGTGTAAACCCTGTAATGGCAACGTCACACTTTCTATTTATCGAATATTTCCTGTATATAAACTACATGTCAGAAAAATATTGAAAAAGTGTAAAAGGCAATGCTGTGAGCCGTTTTGAGTAGGTAACAGGTAAAAAAAGACCACCTTTAACATTAAAAGAACACTATACACCTAAAGCGCTTGCTTTAGCGTCCTCTTTTTGTTTTTGTTATTTCATTTTGTGAAAAGTGCAGATTTAAATAGTTATTGACACTTTTATAAATGAACCTTTTTTACACCCCTTTGACACGGACTGAGTGTATACATGTATGAAAGCAGGTAACAAACCCACTGTATCATAGCAAAAAACACACACACAGAGTGTACACAAAGTATGACAGCAGAGAAACACACAGAGCGTGCACACAGTATGACAGCAGAGAAACACACAGAGCGTGCACACAGTATGACAGCAGAGAAACACACAGAGCGTGCGCACAGTATGACAGCAGAGAAACACACAGAGCGTGCACACAGTATGACAGGAAAGAAACACACAGAGTGTACACACAGTATGACAGCAGAGAAACACACAGAGCGTGCACACAGTATGACAGCAGAGAAACACACAAAGCGTGCACACAGTATGACAGCAGAGAAACACACAGAGTGTGCACACAGTATGACAGCAGAGAAACACACAGAGTGTACACACAGTATGACAGGAGAGAAACACACAGAGTGTACACACAGTATGACAGCAGAGAAACACAGAGCGTGCACACAATATGACAGCAGAGAAACACACAGAGTGTGCACACAGTATGACAGCAGAGAAACACACAGAGCGTGCGCACAGTATGACAGCAGAGAAACACACAGAGCGTGCACACAGTATGACAGCAGAGAAACACACAGAGCGTACACACAGTATGACAGCAGAGAAACACACAGAGTGTACACACAGTATGACAGCAGAGAAACACACAGAGCGTACACACAGTATGACAGCAGAGAAACACACAGAGCGTACACACAGTATGACAGCAGAGAAACACACAGAGCGTGCACACAGTATGACAGCAGAGAAACACACAGAGCGTACACACAGTATGACAGCAGAGAAACACACAGAGCGTGCACACAGTATGACAGCAGAGAAACACACAGAGCGTGCACACAGTATGACAGCAGAGAAACACACAGAGCGTACACACAGTATGACAGCAGAGAAACACACAGAGCGTGCACACAGTATGACAGCAGAGAAACACACAGAGTGTGCACACAGTATGACAGCAGAGAAACACACAGAGCGTGCACACAGTATGACAGCAGAGAAACACACAGAGCGTGCACACAGTATGACAGCAGAGAAACACACAGAGCGTACACACAGTATGACAGCAGAGAAACACACAGAGTGTACACACAGTATGACAGCAGAGAAACACACAGAGCGTGCACACAGTATGACAGCAGAGCAACACACAGAGCGTACACACAGTATGACAGCAGAGAAACACACAGAGTGTGCACACAGTATGACAGCAGAGAAACACACAGAGCGTGCACACAGTATGACAGCAGAGAAACACACAGAGTGTGCACACAGTATGACAACACAGACACAGACAGAGTACACATACAATATGACACCACATACACACCTAAATCTAAAACCTGCAGGCAGCGTCGAGAATCGGGCTGGAAGTCTCCTACTCAAGCAATGCTATGTCTAGTCCTACGCTACGCCGTTTAACCCTTGCACTGCCTGGAACTATTGTTCTGTGAAGCTGGTAGTCGGAGAGAAGAAGGAACACAGCAACAAAGAAGGGGTCACAGAGACCTGCTTTACACGTGTTTAAATTGATTAGGATGCCTCTGCACGACCTCTCACCTCGACCAAATTCGGAGAAATTGTATTAACCTGCTTTATGCATATCATATATGACTTATTTTTTTTTGTGCTAATTTTCTTAAACTTTTTTTTTTTTTTAAGTCTGGGAAACATCCGATGACAGATTACATTGTGATGTTAATTTATATAAAGACAGCACTTTTGTCTTCTACTTATAAATTATAATGACAGACAAATTAAGCACTCTACAGGATGGCTAAAAAAATAAATTAATAAATAAATGTGAAGAAATGTGGAACGTTTATCCTGTCACTGATGGTAGAGTAGTTAATTACCTAGCTTTTATTTGTAAGTGCATCTTGTACTGTGAAACACAATAAAATTACATAAACTATTATAAATAATGACATGAAGATAAATATTTAGTTTTCATACTTTTGGCTTTATTCTTAAAGGAACATTCCGGACCCCTAAAGCAGTTTAGCTCTCTGAGATTCCTTAGGTGTGAAGAGTGTGTCCTCTTTTTTAATTTTACAAAAATTGCAGATTTCAATAGAAATCAACATTTTTATAAATTAACCCCGTTACACCCCCTGGGTGTAACAGCCAGTCCTGTTACTTCCTGATTTGGTTAGCTTAGTGGAGATAAACTCAAGAGGCAGCAATTGCCCAGAGCACCTGCCTTGCAAACACTTCTCATTAAGCTGTAATGGGAAGTCTGTGATTGGACAGCCACAGAAAGTCTGGGCGGGGTTAGAAGGGGAGGGTTTTCATAGGCTTCAGACAGGAGATCTGCATCTATTGTGAGCTGTTTTTAGATACACCCTCAATACAAAAATGCATCATTAAATATACGCTTGTTTTCACTGGTTGCATATCTGCTAAATATTTTAATTTTTTTTTATTAGATCATTCGATTATTCATTTAAACCCCCTTTTAAAAGTTTTTGGGCTGTCAAAAATAGAGAAAAGGTGAAAATGTACAAGGTTAAAGTAGCAAGGTTCATACAGATCTCCAAATGTTCTTTAACCTTTTTTATGCTTTTTTCAGTTACAGAGTAAACAAGATTATACTCACCTCTTCTGAATATTCTAATTAAATATGATTATCTCATTAAATGAAGAGGAACTCCAAGATAGAATGACACATAGACATGGACTAACTGGCAGATTGTGAAGATACAAGTATAGTGTTAATTCATGCTGATTTTAATTAGAACCATCTGTTCCTCTTTTTTCCATTAAAATCCAGTGTAAGAAAAATGAAAATGATGAATTTATATTATGGTATAGTCTGTGTTGCCTGAATCAGATGTTACACCTACATGTAGTGCAAAGGAACTGTCAAATGGTTATACTTGGAAACAAAATTAACGCAACAAGCTCATCAGCGTAGAACGTTTTACACATTGCCAAAATGACATAATAATTTGTATTTATCTTTCTTTGATAAAATGTTTGTGCTATTTGTTGAGTGTTTGGTGCCCAGCAGGTTGTGCCATAAACATGCAGCACAGCATAGTTTAAGGGTTTGTTATTTAAGGGTAACTATGGAAAGAGAGTAAGAGGAAGATTGGGCTTATTGCGACAAACAGACACCTGGAGTTTAAAACTAAACCCACCAGATGATCATCATTCAAATAACAACAAGAAAAAAAAAATTCTGCATGAGGTCAAGTGCATTGTCTGGTCTTTACAAAACATTGTGAAATAAACAGGGATCAGAATTCCCCCCTTCACACACTTAATGAAGTTGTGGCAAGTTGAAATTCGCCCCTGGTGAGTGTGTCGTGACTCTCCATGATTGAAGTAGAGAGTAACTTTGAGGATTGCACGGTTGAGTAGGACTTGAAATTTTTGAATTGAAATAAAGGAACCGTAATATGCCATAATTACTTCTATGTTTCTCTTTCCCAATTTGCTAACCTGTGCATTTTATTTTTGTAATTCTTTATTTTGTATGTGCATAGATAGGACATGGATGTGATGTATCTGCAGGGTATGAATCAGTATAGTATAAGATATTCAGTGAATAACACAGTGGGATGTTTAGGGTGAGGTTGTGCAGGCTGTGACCCACATAGTCTTCTCTACACCGCCATTGAGAGGCAATTTGTACTCTCATTGGGTCCCAATTTTCAAGAGACTTAGTCTGGACTGCCATGACTGGACTTACAGGTATGGTATGCACTTCACAAGTAGAGATCCTCTCACAGAATCTAGAGCACATGCGGTCAAATATTGGGAGGATTGAGTCCCGGGCAGATAGAAGGGTGCTCTTCAGACAGTCAGCCATCTTATAGAGTAGGCCTTTGGCATCCACTGTATGTGAGACCTTAAAGGTCCAGGCAAGAAGTATGGTGAGCCTATCAATGGGTACCAGGCTGACCCCTGGCAGTCCAAATGGGGGGGGGGAGGTCCCATATTGGGCTAGTATCAAGCTATGGCAGAGGATCTGCTGCCTCCTCTGCCCTAGATTACCCCATAGGCAGCAGGACAGCACGGTACAGTCCGCAATCACTAGAGCCAGCAAAACCCAGGTTAATCGCTTGACTGAGTGGCGAAAATGGGATGATTTAGCAGGCAAATAAGCAGTTTTTCAGGATAAAGCTGAGGAGCTCCAGTCCTGTGCGACCTACTCGGTTGGCTCTCAGGGCCTGCACCCGACCTAAGCACTTTCTTATTTTGTATGTTAGATGGCTGGAAAAGCTTCACTGCATCTTCTGCATGTGCACACCACTCCATTGGGTTGGTTAATAAGTTGCTGAGCATTACTACGTGCAAAAACAGAGACACATCTTCTAATGTATGTGGAAATTAGACTTAGAAAGTAACTTCCATATGCTGCAGTATGTGTCAATATGTGTTATTTTGCAGAGCTCCAATATCTATAGCTTTTTACTATAGAAGGATTTTTGTTCCCCCTTTCAGTCTACATCAATCACCAATGGACAGTGTCCTTCTCTAAGCAATGCATATCAGGCTGCTGTCATTGGTCCGAACAGTGAGAGAGACTGACTGCTGTCTGTAGAATACTCAAGGAACACAGCAGCTCACATTGGAGAGGGGATTAACTAAAACCACAACATATTTTACACTTAAAGCATATGATTGTTACATTTCTGCAAAGCAGCGTAAATTAAAATACAAAACAAAATATCAAAAGTCAATTTGTTATATTCCCCCTTTAAGCATTATCTTCTATTTTTAAATGACCTTAGAATTATTGTCACCATAGTAGATTAAGAATGGTTGGTAAACTCATGTTTCTTTAATTTGGGTAATATTTGACTCATTACTGTACATTTCACTGCACTCCGTCCTCATTATTTTTAAGTCGAGTAGAAAATCACAGTAGTTCTGCAAAGCTGTAGCTCAGAAAATATAATGATTTCATTGAGTGCTAATGTTTTCGTTTTTTTTGCCCGGAAGATTTAAATATTCTGATGAGTTGTTGCTGGCAGGGAAAATACGGAGTGATCTTTAGATGATACCCCGACAGTTACACATCATGCTGATCCAGGCGGTATTTTTGCTTTTATTAGAAATGACAAATACGTCCAACTCAGCACAATCAAAACAGCATGAAGATGTCTTTTGTCTGTATTGGAAATTACCCAGCCATTATGTTTGGCAGAGAATTTTGCCAAGATGTGATTGAACCGCTGAGAATTTCTGTATTTTCTTTTCTGACGAGTTAAACAGGACATCTCTTCCATGTAGCCGTTTGGGGAAATTATGCTCTGATAAATATAATCATTGTTCACGTGACGTATCAATGAACATGGAACGTAATCTGCTTGAGAGTCTGATAATTGCACATTCAGGAGGAGTACACAGTTTGTTTATGCAGTTGTTACAAGTGTCTGCGTATGAATCTCTCATCAGAACAGAATGTTCTTTTTATTCGCTTGAAACCAAACAAATTAAAATGCCACGTTTTGTAAAATTCACTCCCCCCTGTACCTTAGTGATCTCCCCGGCCCATTTCTGTTAGAGTTTTCCCCTCTCCCCTGTTCCTAAGTGGTCTCTAGCCCCCCTCCACTGGTGGTCTCTCCCCTGGTGATCTCTGCTGGTCTCCCTGGTCTCTCCCTCCCGGTGGTCTCTCCCCATGGTTGTCTCTCTCACCACCCTCCCCTGGTGGTCTCTCTCTCTCTCCCTCCTCTGTAGGTTTCTCGCTCTCCCCCCAGTGGTCACTCTCTCCCTCCCCTCCAGTGGTCTCTCCTCTCTCTTCCCACACCTGGTGCTCTCTCCCCTCACCCCCCACTCCCCTGGTGGGGTCTTTCCCTCCCTCCATCCCTCCATCCCCTTGGGCTCTCTACCCTCTCCCCTTCTCTAGTGGTCTCTTCCCTCTCCCCACCCCTCCCCTGGTGGTCTATCCTCTCCTCCTCCCCTGGTGGTCTCTCCCCTCCCCTTGAGTGCCTTCTACTTCCCTGTGTAGCGTGGCTCTCTCAGTGAGCACTTCCTGTCAGTACGGCTGGGTACAAGAAACAGAAGCTCCTGTACTGCTCTGACCAGCCACACTACACTGAGTGACTGGTAAGAGGGAGCACATCCCTCCTGCCAGTCCCTTAAGTCTTGCGCCGACAGAGCCGGAGCACCCTAGGCAACCGCCTATAGGAAGTGCTGGCCCTGAAGCCTAATAGGTAATATTGTTCTAACAAACTGGCCCGATGTTAAATCTAGTCTTAGATGTCTCTGACATAGGCCATATGTTTGCTAAAAGTTGAATTAAAATTAACATCCAATAAATATTTAATTAATCATATATATTTTTCAAGATGCCCGTAAAGGAGGTTTTTCTCATATGCTCTCTGATACAACATGTCTGCCTTAGCTGTGAAGGTGATGATGCAACTTGATTTTAGAAAACTTTAGTTT